ATAGACAAGATGTCTTGACCTTTTTGAAGCCTCTGCTTTGGTATCCTCAATCTAGATTAATTAAACTCTTATTGTCAATTAAATGTTCTGAGGAGATGTTAACATATTTTCCACCAGCGCCAAAGCGCTCTATCAGCATTTACGTGTTTCGTGGTCTGAACCATCATCTCCATTCTTTGTATTTCTTCTCATGACCTGGGAGTATATGAAAGGTTAGATCTCCCTTTCCATCAAATTGTGGTTCAACAAACTATCAACTACACAACTCCTTGGCATTCTCACACAAAAGAACTTAAGATTCTTTGATTAACACAGTGAATCCTGAACCCATTTACTATGGGTGTCCCACATATGAGACACCCGGAAAAAAAATTGCCAGGCGTCCCGCCAGTGTGACACTGTATTGGGGCAGCAGAAAGAGTCCGCGCTAGCCCTCGCGCCAATTTTGTAGCCGCCTGGAAACTTTTATTTTCAGCTTCAAAATATACCAGTGTTACTGGGTTAAGCGCATACAATAAATTTTTGAACGAAGAAGGGTTTGCTTTCACCAAGTGCTTGTGGCTAGGTGTGGTTATTATGCTCTATAGAATCGATAATGGTAAATGCAATTAGTAATTCAATGTCAGGCTACTTCAAAGAATCGTCAGTCCAAAGTTCGGCAGGTAAACAATATAGACACTCTTTTAGTTACATAGCTTTTAGTTTCACTTCATAACGCTTTTTCTCAATGGTTTATAACATATCTAAGTAATTATACATTTTCGCTCGTGAGGATAGCACTACTTTTCTTTATTCTATGGATTTCATTGTCAGGGTAACTTAGCTTCATGATGTCATGCCAAATTAGTCTATAGAAGGTAGGAAAGGTTAACTTGGGTTTTTGGTTTGCATGAACCTAAAACCTGGTTTTGGACTTAGTCTCTGGAGGGTGCAACGCTCTCAGTAACAATTACCAACACAGGTATGTTAAAATAGTGTGTTTACTTTTGAGCTGGTTGCATTGCGGACAGTGAAGGCCTCGGAGGTTCCAAACATGGCCTCATTGTCCTGCTGGTCCTGACAAGTTGTCTGGACAAGCAAAAGGAGTTCCAAACGCAACTTTATGCAGGTCGTTCTCCCATTACCCTAATATGGGAGGTGTGCAACCCCAATCCCCCTCCTAGAATGCTAATATTTTCACCACATGTAACAAGCAAAATAGAGCCCTGATGAATTGAGTAACACAATGAATTTATGAGTAACCTTTTGATCTAAGCAAGCTGGAGGGCAACATCTTCTGCTGTCAGTTCTTTGAGCCTGTTGATTTTAAATTTGATGGTTATAGGAAAATACCATAACATGCCCTGATTGGTGATAACATCCTGATGTTGATTACCAGGAGCTCAGGGGGATATGATGTCAAAATGAGAAGTATTTTAATGCTTTTTGTTGCTTCTACCATCTAGCAGCCAAAGGACACTATCCCTCCACCACAAGCTGGTGAGATAATGCTTAGTCTACTTCTTTTTTAACAATTTATTGCTGGGGAGAAGTGTGCAAAATTAGCTTTTGGCTATTGTTGAAGAGCTGTAGCTCTGCATGCTGGCACATGGTTTGCAACTTTTCCATTCTGTCTAATGTAATTTGACAAACATAATCCAAACTATATACCATTAAACTTCTAATGACAGGCCAAAAAGTCAGTTGTCATGTAAGCCGTGACAGCTTTCTCCAATGATCAGTAAATATTTAACCCATTCACAAGGAATGAAATTTTAGGTAAGGTTTGGTAAGATAGATTTATATTACCATGCTGAGCTGCCATTAAACTGACTAGGAAATGGAGATAAATTATGATTAGGAGTCATCCAACTTGTGAGAATTTTCAGTGTGATATGATAGGATGTCACTCAAGGTGAATGGGTTAAGAAACCAATAGGTTATCATTTGCATATTATATAATAATGTGGTGCTGTTGTGGAAGGTCAGACTAATTCGTTACATTTGAGAATGCATTTTAGAATTTTTCTAGGCATTGTTTTATATTCTGTTATGTGTGTCTGGGTGGAGGTGAACTTTCTTGCTATCCCCATAAATTGAATGCTTTTGCTTGTACCATGTGTGAGGAAAATCAATTTCAGTGGTTGGTCAGCTGGGAAATTTGGTAATCAATGATCATGTAGGAAGCTTGCACACAGTGGAATGAATTTTAAGCATGTGTAATTATAATTTTCCTATTTTGATTTTTACAGGAGAGCAGGAAGTGGATCTCATGGAAGAACTTCTGGACTCGGCAGAAAACTTTGATGAATTGAATGATGTTGCCGATGATAAAGCCAGTAAGTGCATTTCCTATTGTTACAAGATTGAAGTGAAAGAGTTTCTAAAAGGTGATGATAATGTAATCTGAAGCATAGTGGTGAGACAGAGTTTCCCTTTTCCTAAAGCTGGATTATTATAGTGGATTGTGATATCCAGATTTATTGCAAGTCTTGCTGCCCTTCTGCGTGAACCTTATCCTCAAAGAGCTGATCGCATTTTCATAGCACATGCTAGAGACAGAACATGTAAAGACATGTTTTGCCTATAAATATATAGATAAAATTACAGCTTTATAGATGAATAAAGACTCCTCTTAAGCTTCACTACCAGGTTTATTGAACTAGTGATTTTGATCCAATTATAATTGCTCACCCCGTCCTCTTTATCTCTCTTTTAGATAAACGCCGCAAGAAAGTTGTTGACAGTAAGGATGCCTCAAGTAAGAACAAAAAGGAAGATTCCAAAGAGATGGCACTAAAAAGAAGCAAATTAAAGGAGAAGCAGGATGCTGCTCGAGCCAAAAGAGAAGGGAAAAAGAAAGTGAAAACTGTTAAGAAGGATGGTGAAGGAGGTGAGTTTGTGAACCCACATAGCAGATGCCTGGAATGGTTCCTCAAGTGAAAATATGAATTTACCCTCTATTTCTGATTGACTTTTGTATATTGAAATGTGAAATGCAATAAGACTTCAGTAATTGATTATGCCATTGGTAAGCATCTTCAGTAGAATATTTTTTCTGTTAACTGTTTAGTATCTAGTTACCTTTAGTCAGGTGTCTTGTGAATTATTTTCAAATATTTAAGCATTCTCACCAAAGACAGAAACTGGAACTGCTAATAAACTCTTGTGTGAACTTTCCAAATGTAAACAGATGACGGAGGCAAGATAGGGGAAGAAGAAGGAGATATGGAGTTTGATACAAGGAGTGAAGCATCATCTGACCACCAGTTCTCTGATGATGAACCATCTATGAGCGAGGCTTCACATGCATCTTCCATTTCTCGGGAATCTTCACGTAAGTACATGATGGTTGTCTCCCTTAATTCTCCTGTCTCTTCTTTTCCTTTTTATATCCCCTTCCATCCTCTTTCCCCACTTTCTCCTGTTTCCTCTTTTCCTTTTTATTTCCCATTCCTTCTTCTTTCAACTCTCCCTTTTCTCTCACTGTTTCCCTTTCCCCTCCTCTGTCTCCCTTTTCCCCTTTAATTTCTCTCTCTCTCTCTCTCTCTCTCTCTCCTCTCTCTCTCTCTCTCTCTCTCTCTCTCTCTCTCTCTCTCTCTCTCTCTCTCTCTCTCTCTCTCTCTCTCTCTCTCTCTCTCTCTCTCTCTTCTCTCTCTCTCTTTCTCTCTCTCTCCTCTCTCTCTCTCTCTCTCTCTTCTCTCTCTCTCTCTCTCTCTCTCTCTCTCTCTCTCTCTCTCTCTCTCTCTCTCTCTCTCTCTCTTCTCTCTCTCTCTCTCTCTCTCTCTCTCTCTCTCTCTCTCTCTCTCCCCTTTCTCCATCTTTCCCCCTGTTCTCTTCTCCCTCTCCTCTCTCCTCAGTAATTTTTTATATATGTCATAATATTTTGTAGCAGTGCTTAAAAGGATTCTCTTTTTTAGAATATTCTATTACTTACAGCTGAGAAGGAAGATATTGAAGAAGAAAAAGAAACAAGAAAAAGGAAACACAGTGCATCAGAGACCTCAGTGAAGAGTAATGACGATTGTAAGTGTTATATGTGTACTATTTTCATTGAGATTTAGATGAATACATATTCTTTATGTATACATACAGGTAAAACATAGAGAAGCTTTTCCAAGTTGGAAAATCAATGATGTTGCAATGTGTTTAATAGCAAATGAAGTCTGATGATTCTGACACCATTTATGTAACTATATTGATGGAGTGAGATTTTAATAAATGCTATACCTTGCGATATGTAACTTGGAGATGTTTTTGTGGGTCAAAGGCTGGATACTCAAAGGGTGCCTAGGAGGCTTTACCTTCCGTCTGGTGAGCAAAGTAAGTGTGGATGTGGTGACTTATCTCAGATTTCATCTTTTATAAACTAATGGTTTTGCTAGCTTTATATCCACACTTTATGACCTTGTGCCACTGTAAATTATCTAGTGTTGGATCTTCAGTGGCCAATTACAGCTGTTTTAGGCGGCTCTTCGGTAATCTTGACTAATCGCAAGACACAAACACTCATCAGCTGAGTTTGTAAACAGCACTTTCACTTTTTAGGTGACATGGGCTGGAAGCCTATGTCACCTAAAAGAGATACAGTGCTGTAGCATGTTTTGAGTATCCACCCCCACAATCTTAATTTTTGCTAGATAATGTTTAGTACTAGAAATACATAAATTGCCATACAGTATATATATATTAGTTACAGTATTGATGCTGTTCAGGTGTTAGGCAGCATTGTTTGAAACTACATTTCTGCCTGTTACAAACCTATAAAAAGTAGCCACACTTTTATATACATAAACATTTAGGGCATAACATGTCTATATATGTTCTGATAGAGAAAGATGTGCATACCAAGAAATCTGTGTGCAGAAATCTATTTTTTACCAAGGCTTTTTAAAATTTTGGAATAGAGTTTTTTCTGCTTTATCATGACTTTTTATATAGTATATTGGACATATTTTATTATGAAAGTGATGAATTTTTAAGGTAGTTTCATGTGTGATACTTTTTTGTCGGGAAGCCAAAATAAAGATTACAATTAGTTCACACTTTTACGTAAATGATTTTTAACAGCACCGGAAAAGAAGGTAAAGGAGAATACAACGAAGAAAAAATATGACTACATAACCAAAGTAAATTACATGTTCCGTGATGCACGGTTCTTCCTGATGAAGTCCAACAACGGAGAGAACATTGTTTTATCAAAGTCCAAAGGTGTGTGGTCTACACCTCCTCAGAATGAAGCAAAGCTCAATCAGGCTTACAGGGAAGCTAGGAATGTTATCCTTATCTTCTCAGTTAAAGAAAGTGGACGTTTCTGTGGTGAGTGATTACTTATTTGTTTGTTTTTGTGTGCTCTCTTTGAAATACTGGATTTGAATAGCTGAGGCATCTTTTGGTTGCCATCCTACATAATTTTTTCTTAGGCTTACTCATTTTTCTCGGACTTTCAGGATTCGCACGCCTGTCAGGGGAGTCAAGACGAGACCTTCCCCCAGTGTCCTGGGTTTTGCCTCCAGGATTGTCAGCTCGTGCTTTAGGGGGAATATTTGAGATGGATTGGATATCTAGGTAATTCTTACAAAGGATGTTTTGAGTTTTGAGTTAAGATTACAAAAGTAAGCCTTGTATATGTATTTGTAGGGATTACTCTAGAAGGGTTTTTTATCTGGGACCCATGGAACCCAGGTTCAAAAGGTATCATTTGCACCTCCTTGATGAGGGGAATACAAATGCTTATCATTTATTCACACTCATATTCTGTTTTATACATTAGTTACATGTTTATCACATTGCACAGTTTCCGTATGTAAAGGTATGATATTGGGGTACTGGTATTAATGGTTATATATTTTTATTTGCAGAAAGGATCTCTCCTTCACCAAAACTCAGCATCTTTATAATCCCTGGAATGAAGGCAAACCAGTAAAGATTGGAAGAGATGGTCAGGTAAGAGTGCAAATAGTGTTTTTTCTTTTCTTTCTATTCAAATTGATCTTTATGCCTTCCGGTGAGGTTTCCTTTTATGATTATTAACCCATTGGATCCGTTTAGAGCGTTTGAAAACCCATGAATGGTGACAAGACTCAGTGCCTCCCCTTTGCAAAGTTATTTTGAGTGAATTTTTGTAGCCTTTTTGCTATTTTCCAATGTCTTTTGAATTGCTTTATCCAGATGATAATAGCTTATTTCCTTGCACAGACTCCATATCATCTCTCCATGTAGTAATAACTCAGTGCAAGAAAAAAGAAAAGTAAGGAACATTGGCTTATTTGTGTCATATATCTTATTTTTTGTAATTTTCAATTTTCCATAATATACCTTGCACTGCTGGTCACAGTAGCCAGGAATATGGTGCACAGCATGGAAATGGCGTCCTCCTTATAGCCAGCGCTCTTCCAGTCACAGCTTATGCATATATCCCACATTTGTTTATTGATGGGAATAATGCGAAAGCCCCCTTCTAAGCGCCAAATGAGTCAAATCACACTCCAAGAGGTTTATGCATCCTTGGCGAGTCTTTTCCATCACCCTCGCCTTCGCTCATGACAGCAAGTTGGCGTCACCCAGCCTGCTGCCATTTTGCCCGATGATGGCATGTTCACGTCACCCAGCCCTCAACCCAGATATTTCCTTGACGGGACCGTAATGTCATTCGGATTGTAGGGGTTGAGAAGAATTATATAGATAATATAATTAAGCTTGTATTATGACAAATCCATATGATAAAAGTCTCATGAATTTTGTAAGATTCTATTATCACATGGTTTTTCATTTTATCTTTTAATTCATCTCTCTTATTGAATTGCCTAACACTTAGCATGCACTCTTAGACCATCATATAAATGTTAGTGGGAGTATTAGGTCATTAATGATTACTTAATATCATTATTGTTCTTTGGATTTCTTTGCCATGGAATATTTTCCTCCAACTTAATCTTACTCCTAGATTAAGCAGTCAGGTTTGGTATGTCTTTGGTATGTGAGGAAATGAAAGATAATTCTTTCTTATTCTCCTTAAATCTTTTTGTCTATCTTGCGTTGGTGTCTCATTTCAGTTATTAACTGGTGTCACCTATATGATCCTGTAATGTAGATCTAGGTTTCGCTCTTTGCCACTTTTGTGATGTTTCACTCTTTGCCACTTTTGTGATGAAAGGGACAGACAGATAGACTGGGATTGTGACTGCACAGTGTAAAATTGTGGTTGTGATTGCGTATGTGATCTCAGTAAAGACCAAAGATTAAAATTTGCTCAAATAAGGTAAGAGTATTGATTTTAAACACTTACTTTTCATTGACACTTAATCTGCTAATGTTTTGATTTATTAGTAATGAACAAACTTGTGTTACACTGCAGTGAAGATGGATTATTTTTATCTGTATACTAAGATGTGGAAAAGGTGAAGATGCAGAAAGTAACATCAGTACGAGAAAGCTCAAAGTAAATTTAGTGTTTAATCATTCAATGAACTTGTTTGGAAATATGATTTGTAATCAATAAGTTAAAGCTGTAATTGAGTGAAAAAATGAGTAATTGAAACTTGAATATGTAAAGCAAGATTTTAAAAGTTGTCAGTGCAATCTGTTAAAAGATATTTGTTTCATTTTACTACTTTATTTCAGGTGTCCTTTTTCACTTATTGTTAATGCGTAAGATATTCAAGGAGAAAGACAAAAAATCTTTATCTCTGTTTATAGGAGATTGAACCAAGAGTAGCAGAGGAGCTTTGTCGACTCTTTCCCAAAGATGACGGGGTTAATCTCACACCAGTCTTGCACAAAAGCAAGCGAGCAGCACGGGTTGCTCGGGCCAGGGGGCCTCTCCGCCGGCCACTTCAACCAGCAGGAGACCGCCGTGGCCGCCCCAGAGAACGTGGAAACTTCCGGGGCCGAGGGGACGTAAGCTTCAGGTGCGTCACTACCACCAAGGTTCAGTCACGGCTTGGAGAGTTACATATCATATTGATGTTGCCAGTGATGGCTCTCTGGGTAATGATAGCTTCATCTCTCACCAGTGCACAACTAGTACCCATCACATTACATAACACCACACATGTTGCAGTTTGAAACTATTTAGTAATGAAACCCTATAATTCTATTATGCAACAGCACACATGACCCAGTTTTAAATAAGTGGAAATCAGTATTTAGACATTCAAGACCATTTTTTCAGTATTCATCACAAACAACAGTCAGTGCTGGTCTCGGGTTGAAGTTGTGTTGTGGAAGGAGATGTATGGTAGCATTCTCTATGGTGGCAACAGTGGCAACTAGCAGATAAGACTCTCCAGTATCCAATACAGTAAATGGACTGACAGTCAGTAAGTGCGTGGCAACGTGTCACGGATTCTGCTAGTATCAGGGTAAACACGTGAGACTGGCATGGCCCCTAGTGGGTCAGCCCCACTCACTCCCTCAGTGTCTTGTTACCGCTCTGTCTCTCACCCCAGTGCTGAGGACCCCTATCCTCTCACAGACTCTCTGTCCCTTTCTCTCTCACACAACCTGGCTAGTGAGTGACACACCCACCACAAACATAACCAGTGCAGTGCGTACCTCCACATCAGTTAATACCTAACTACCATCATCAAGAGCAGGCATAGACTAGGTGTTTCCTTTTGATAATTAGAACTTCAGATAGTAGAAGAGTAAATATATGCTGGTAAATAAGTTCTACCCAGTGGACTTGTCCGTCAGTATATCTTAAGAGACCATTATCCAAATAGTAGTATAATGAACTTTCAGTGAAAGTAGTGAGTGGTTGGGTCAAGTCCATATACCAGCAGTAGGTGACACTCACTAGCAGGTTGGCACAGAGCCAGGCCCCACCATGTGGACTCGGCTTAGCTGTAAGGTATTGGTCATAAACTTTTTTGTAAGGTAGTGTCTTGCATGGACTCGCTCAAGCATTCAGGACCAAGTGTGTTGGAGATCATAAGTTCACACCAGAGATTAATAGGTGACTGAAGCCCTGAGCTAAGTCATTGATCAATGAGAGAGTATTTGCCTGGCTAGTGAAATAGTGTGGGGGATATTAGTGAGTGAGAAATGATCAGTGAAAGTGAGAAGTGAAGTAAAAGTGAAATGGTGAAATATCAGTGCATTGTGTTGCGCTCAAGACAGCAAGAGGGCAAGTCCCTGCCATCTGTATTGTCAACACAACACATCATCTTCGAACTTGGTGAGTATGCCAATAATTATTCATACTTTTTCATATTCTGTGAATCAGTATTTATCGAGGAGTCCTTCTCTCTTTAAAAAGAGCAAACCATATCAATGCCTTTTTTGTTTATGGTCCAGCTATTTTTGAAAGCCATTGATTTTAAATATTTTTTCTAGATTCATGACAACTGAAGTAATGTCGCATAAGAGGGAATAATTAGTTTTCAATTATTTGTGTAAAATTGACTAAAGTCATCAGGAGGAAAGTACTAAAAACTTAAAAGTTGATAGCCTTGAATGCAGTATGAATTTAAATGGTTTATACAGCTCTTTAACTACTATATCTCTATGGAGCAATGCAAGAAACCAGTGACATTATTCAAGTAAGGGCAGTGCTGCAAGATAACTACTTAGTACTGATGTCTTTGTCATAAAGATTTTACACAAGAATGACCTCATTTATGTGGACCGAGTTGATGCTCCTCTCAGCTTAGCCGGGAGATGTATGTTGGCTTTGAACAATACATTGAAAGAAAAAAAGGGTGTGTGGGAGGGAGAATGGGAAGAAGATGGGAAAGGTATGTGTTACCTTGGCTGGGAGAGCCTAGTTGATAGAACAGTCTATCTTGCTATACCTTTTACAGACTATTCACTATATATGTGTGCAATCTGACCTGTAGGACAAAAACTTTTATGTGTACAGTCCTCTGTGGGGATCTAAGGTAATATTACTGGTTGTAGCAAGTACATTGAACCAGTTATTTATATAAAATATATTTTCAGCTTGGGAATTTTTCAATGGTATTGACAAGTTGGCCTGTTCATGTAGTATTCTGCTGAAGGTTGTTAAATTTGGGTATTGAACTTGAGATTTATCCTATGGGTTTTTACATTTCTAGAAGAAATAAATACAGCTTCTAGATCCACGAAAGTGACACCTGAAAGATCTAAACAGGCTATGAACATGGTTAAGGTTCCTGGAAAGAGCACTTGACTGATACTATCTTTTTGCAACAGCAATATGAGTTCCCGTGAAAGGAAAGCTAATATGATGAGTTGCAAATGGTACAAAAACAGGAAGGAAGAAGGAAGGAAGAAAGAAAGTTAAAATGTACATGAATGCAACTGATGTATGCATCCTTAGAAATCTAACTTCCAGTTGTTTGTGTTCCTTGACTATTGAAATTTTTATGGAATATCACATGTTTGTTTGTGAGTGTGATTGCATGTGTCTGGGTGAGGGAGTGGGAGAAGTAGTAGTTGTTTACAAATGACAGTGCAAATGATATTTTGAAGATTTTATATCTTGTCATAACTCCTATCTGGAAATGAGAGTTGTAGACCATGACCTAAATTCTGCATAAATGTTTTTTTTTTAATAAAGATTTGGCTCTGTACAGTCAAAACTATATAAAATATAAGCTGAATGGTTAAAAGTTTGTTACTATCATATAGAATAAGAACATCAGTTAAGCAAGAAAACAACTGGTCATTTCATGAATTATTTGACTCAGACAAAACAGAATGAACCTGACTACCATCCTGTAGAATGTGATGGCATTACCTGTTGCTGGTAAAGTTTATTGCTGATTATTTATCCCTTTCATTTTAGGCATACCATAATGTTATGGCATTACAAACTGTACATTCTTGCTTGTTAGATGGGTGGTGTTAGAGATCTTTTTCTGTTGTGACACTTATCTTTTTCCTCTTAATGTCATGTGCAGTCTTGTGTATGTCAAAAGGCATGGTTACATAGAGAAAATTCCACCAGTAAAATTTCATTGCAGTTACATGTGCACAAAACCACTGTTTGTATGCACTTAGTAGTCACTGTAATTTTAAAATCTTGTGATTATGATGCCGCTGCTATAGTGAATTATGGATAGTAGGGGTGCCTTGTTTAATATTTTCAGTTGGAAAATGCACTTAAAACTAGTTGTAGTTTATCCAAATCTGCAAAGTTAGGATGTGTGTCTGAGAGTGCACATATTTTTAGGGATTTGTTAGGGGTGAAACTTTTTTTGTGACCACCTCAATAAAGCCTAGTTTGATTTGAAATGTGAAAATCTGAGTTTCTCTGTTGTTTTGTTGTCTCATTTCTTATTACAAACTTGTTTTTTATTGTTTTTATTATTATTATTATTATATTGGCATATGTATACCAATATAAAGCTACAGTTTGATGTTTAGAAATCATAATTGTGTGCTGATTATGATAATAGTGTATGAAAATGATATAAGAAATCAAAGATAGTATTTCTTGGGGGGGGGGGTAAAAAAAAAAACTGCAAATAAAGGAAAATGTGGATGAAATACAAAATTATCAATTAGAAAAAAAAAAGACTCAAAATAGTTTAAGAAGTTTGTGCAAATGTTAAAAGCATATCATACTTGAATACTCTTTTTAGTGTAACAAAATATGGCCATCCTCCTCATACCCATTCATAGGCATAAACAGTGCAGCTGTGTTATTGTCAATATCATTATTGTCTCTATGCACATTTTACTTTATTCAGTTTATAATTTAGTTTTGATATGAAGGCTTACTCTGTGAAATATTGAGAGGCTTATTTGTACTCTAAACCATTAAGGGGGCCATCGCACCTTATTTTCGACAAATGTTTATTATTTTAAGATGGTATAATAACTTCATATTGTCTTTTGAATAATGCAGTTGTTATGCGCTAACCATATGCTAGTGTTCTGTGCACAGTACACATTCATACTTTTTTACATTGGAGACAGGTTTAGGAACATACCCAGCACAGTTGCCAAGGATTGCTTATATGTATTCACATGTGTAAATCAGCTGCAGGGTGAAAATTTAAACAGCTATGTTAACTTTTCCAAAGAAAAAGGATATACATTTGCTCCAAGTGGAATATTGAAGTAAATGGCTATTGGCAATTAAAAAGGAGGTACTTGTGAAGAGTTGGTAATTTCCTCAAGTTATTGGCAGGTACAGTTTCAAGAAAGAATACTCAGTGTTGGTGCTGGATACCATGGCTTTGACAGATTTGAAACTACAGCTAAGTCACAATTACATGAATGCATTTTTACAATAAAAAGGAGGGAGAATACTATTTTTTAGCTCGCTTTCTCCACAGCAGATCCAAACATAAGAAATATAGTTTACCAACATTAAATGTTTTTACGTCTGATTTTCCAAGTACAAAGTTGCAGAGTAGACAGACATGTAGTATCTGCAATATATCTATTAACCAAATGCCGCCGGGTATAAAAGTTTGGCATGTGGACGTGACAATGGGATTGTTGCGCCCAGTTTGTTCAGTTGTTTGCTAGCAACATTGGGCACCTAAAAGCTTTACTATAATTTATAAGAATATTAAAATCATGAAGGCATACATTTATTATAGGTGATATTGCCTAAAATGTTTACCATATAAATGAAACCACTACTATCGGAGAAGAACAAACTCTGTCTGACAAGCCAATGGCACGGGAATGGTCATGATATGATGCCAACTGTTCTTCGGTCTATATCAGCGTATTTTTAACAAAAGAATATTCGATATATAGTATTAAGATATATATCTATCCTCTTACTGACAGGAATGGCTGTAGACATGGAAATTCTACCATTCATGATAAGAAATGTATACATGTCAGGCGAGTTGTACACAGCAAATACCCTGCTGGAAAGACCTCAAAGACCTTGGTCTTTAATATTTCAAGAGCTTCACCCCTCCCCCCTGGGAGGAAAAGAATGTATATTTCACTCAAATACTGCACAGTCAAGGGTCAAAGCTGAGAACTTGCAGAAGATACATCCCACAGTATGAATAAGAATGGAAGAAAGTGTAAAGTAAAAAAAAAATATAGATAGATAAATAAATAAATAGCATTTTTCATATGAATATAAAATGTAAATAGACAAGAAAAGAAGATTTATTTTCATGAAGATGAGAATGTAGGAATGGATAGGGTTCTGGTGGGATCAGGTGTGTCATGCAGTGCTCAGATTTAGTGCTTCACTCATATTAGGTTCCAGTACAAAAATCCGTGAGGAGAAGAATTAAAAGGGGGTTGTAGGTTCTTTTATATTTCATTAGAAGTCAGTATGGGTGTTTGATCTTCTTATCAGGTGTAAAAACA